CTGCAGTCAGTCGGACAGTTTCCAGCAGCCTACAAGGAATACACAGGAAGTTACAGAAATGTTTGCATCCTGTTTGATCATCTGCAGGCTGCCTGTACTGTGCAGAGCACATTCAGATATATAAACGTTATTATTAAAATCAACCACACATGATTAAAGAACAGATTAAACCTCCATTCCAAAAACTAAGAGCCAATCAGCTCTTAGATCAGGTGACAGCCTAGCATTTCCCATCATGCCCTGGGTCTCTCAGTCGGTGGAGAGCAACTGTGATGCCTGGCTCTAAAGGTTGCCACCTCGATCTCTTGAGGTTATCATTGCCCATCGAGTCTTTAACAAATGTAACCAGCATGCACTGTGCAGCGATCACCGGTGATCAATTCTGGGGATTATCTTGTCAAGGTATTGTAGTTGACGGTGTGAAAAGTGCATCAACATACTTGCATGTTAAAGGGTATCTGGTACTTTTCAACCTGGACCTTCATCATGTTTCTGTGTCAAAGGCTACGTTCACACTGCAAAGCCTTAGTGCTCAATCCAGATTTATTGCTCAGTTCAAATTTTTTTTTGTATGGCTGTTCAAATGGCCCATATCAGTGAATTGCCCATAAGGATTGCTTCCTTGTGATCGCTAGCTGCTGCGATCTCACTCACTAACTTGGAAGCAAAAAATAATGTCTAGGTTGAAAAATACTGCTACCTCTACCTTTACCTTTTTCTATTATGCCAGATTTTAGGTTCTACTTCCAGCACCCATGCAGCCAAGGCTCTTAAGGGGCCGACTGCACGATTTGACTGCCTCACAGGGCAAACAACAGGTCAAATGATCATTTTACTCATTTTTGTCAGACCAGCATCGCACACACTTACATGTAAACTTGCTTTTTCTGGGTACTCCTCCCATGTTTGTTTACAGTTCTTTTACCACTTCAGAGCCTCCTCTGGTATCCCTGTGTCTAATGTCACAGGGCTATGAACTGTGGGTGTTTCCTTCAGACCATGTCTGAGAAATGCAGACTTACGAAAAGTGTGGATAAAGGGCTCAAAATGTCTGCCAGAGAGCCCTGTGCATTTGACAATTTGACAGTGTGACAGCCCCAATCCCTCACAAACTCACTGGGAACTCACCTCAAAGTCTGTGAATGTGGAGATTGGAACAGAGTCAAAATAACTACAGTGTGTTCATGGTAAAGAAAGAACAGGTCACCCAGTGCAAAAAGAACAGTTTTTTCCCACCTGCACAAGGCCCGGGACCCCCACTGACACTCTTTGAATCTATGCTGCTACTTGCACATTCCTGCACAAACTGTACAATGCTTCATTTGTTTACTTAAATAACAGTAATATTGTACATAATGCTTCCATTTCGTCTTTATTCATTGTCTTTGTTTATTTATACACCAATATACCAAGGCTAATTCATTGTATGTGAAAACCTTCTTGGCAATAAACCTGATTCTGAAGATATATCAGGCAGTGGAGCACACTGATTAATTCACAGCCTTTAATTGTCCAAACAGATGTTTAACACTGCTGTGTCTTCATCAGAATCAAAATGGACAAAGACATGAGTCAAACAACATGATCATCCTAGAGCAATTATCTGTGATTGGATATTTGGTCGAACAGGATATTGGATCATGAATCTGAGGGCTGGAGTTACCACACTCAACGTCTGCACTCCGAAACCAGGTCAGAAAAAAGGCAAAATAACACAGAGCTCTTTTAAAGTTACAAAGACAAAAGTGCAGAAATTACAAGTACAAACAACCATCATGTGTTTCAAATTAGAGGAAACAAATGCAGTTCTTCAGTAATTCCAAAGGGCTCCACTGTGTCTCTTTTCTGTTCCCCAGATCTTTAATAATGCTGAAGAGCCATAATGTCAGGCAATAGCACAATACATAGCATATTACATATTATTTTGTGTACATGTGGCAGTCTTATGATCATTTCATTTCTTTACCACTTTCTTTGTCTTTTTACAAGGACCATGATCACATGGAGCATAAACAGAATATACATTAATAACTAAATGTACACAGCATGGCTAAAGTACAACAAATGTTACATGTTAAAACACACATTGAAAAAGGCACATAGCTTACTAATAACTTATCTGATTGTTGTAGTACAATTTAAAAATGGGCAGTTTAAATAATACAAATATCTTTCTCTATAAATCATTATGCATTCAAACTAAATATGATAGTCATCTCTTAAACAATTGTCATTACAGAGGTTGCAGATTCTTTGGTTTCTACACAGCCCCCTTGTTTTTTAGGCATTTTTCAAACCTGATCCTGTGTTCCTGTTGTGCTGGGAGTTTCAGATGCCATATCTGTAGTAACAAGAGCACAGCAGCAACTTCCTCCTCTCTTATGGTGGTTTTACAGCGTAACAATTAATCCTGACATTCTGGATGAAGAAGGAAGTTCCCACTTTTAAGCTTTAGCTCAATGAAATGACCAATACCCTTCACCTCGAAAGAAAGTTTCTCTCTAAAGAATAGTCATCATTTTATCATATCTTTATCTAGCTCTTTGTCGGTTACCTGAGAAACAACCCATAGTGTACACTGCTCATGTACTCTAGTGGCCACTACCCTTTTCACTGCAAGCTTTATTGTTGTATACTACTCACTGAGCAGAAGGGAGGGAGAGTTGGTGTGACGAGTATATTTTAATATTTAAATTATGTTGATACTATCTGTTGTATTAGCTTTGCTTTTCTTCAGTAAAATGAACATACATACATAAAACATACCTGATAAAGAAGCTTTTTGAGGCTTCAGGCAGGAGAACGATGGCACCCTTTTTATTCAGTTAAAACACAGGAAAATATAATAATAATAATAAAACGTAATCTTAGTATGTGTGAGAAAACAATCTCAACTCAAATGTTCCCCTTAGTAGCTGCTGAGAACTCTAAAATAATTACTCAGTCAGGAATGAACATCCATGATCAACAGAGTAAAAGCACAACAGACAGTGCCTCGTCCAAGCTGCTTGCTGAATTTGTAAAATGAAACAACCTTAGCGGACAATCACACAGCGATGCGTCACTATTGGCACGGCTGCTTCAAAAATGCCATGGTAAAGCAAAGTTAAAAATAGTTAAAAATAACGTTTTGTCATATTTGCTGAAACTTTCACTATATTCTGACAGAAGTACATGAGACAGATAATCTGTGTAAAAATTAGGTTCCTTACAGTTATGTATTCAGAATTCAGAATTCAGAACTGAAGCCGGGTGAGTGAGCAACAGAAACAAGCTCACCTACAAGACTAATGGAGGGCAGGTGATTTAGAGCGGCTCTGGCCAGGACTCTGCCTGCAGGGACGATGAAGACATAGCAGGTTCAGGATAGGAGCCAGTTTGTAGCGAGGTAATTAATAAAATAAAATAATATAATAAAATAAAAATAATGTTATCCATCATCCATCAAATCGATAAGTCCGCCAGTACTTGTTTTAGTGAAGTTGGAAGTTATTTTTTCTGTGTTTTGATCGAGACTAGTCTCAAACACATTACATTAGATTCATTCCCGTTTTTTCCACATTTAACAGGCTGCTGTTAAAAAAATAATTTAAAATGTAATAAAATAAATGTGCGACGAGTGTGTCGACTATTCAAGGCTTTAGTTGGGGCCAGTTAGCATATTTCACTGTTATATGACATTTTACAGACTTAACAATAAATTGGAAAGATAACTGATACATAAGCCAATAATACAAATGTAAGAGCTTTGCAGCTGCCTTTT